AATAAAAATGTTAATGATATTAACTCTAATTTCCAATTACTACGCGAAAACTATAACCATGTCTAGTAATAAATTTAATTATAGCAATTAAATGCTTAACCTCTCTATAATTCATTAAACGACCTCACCCTCGTTCACTCTCCTCTTCCCGGCAGAAAATCGCACTGGTCCGATCCTGAGTCAAAAGGATTAAGTTTCTTAACCAAAACAGGACCAACGATTGCGCTGGCTTGAGATCGAGGAACCCTTCAGGACGTTGACTCGTCTGTCAAGCACGGTTAAAGCGCCTTCGATCCGCACATATGCCACCGCGCCTATCTGCAAGACAGGCTATCTGCTTACGTTCTTCCGATTTCCTCTTTTCCGAATCCAGCCTCGTTTCTAAATGGGACTCTCTTTTGATTTTTTCTTTCTGTAAAGATAAATCATTTTCTGGGAATTGGACGTAACAGTTGTATTATTAATATTTAATCGAGGTTGTTGCCTTTGCCGTGATTGATAATGAAATTGATACTCTGCTCTTCTATTTAATGGTGTAATATTTGTATAATTTTCTTCATCATTTAGTTCCATTATACGATTATTATGTATTGTGCCAGTGAAAGAAACATTATAATTTGTTTGATTAACTGTTTTTGGTATAGTTGTATTAGTAAGCAATGACAACATTGATTTTCCGTTTTTCTTTCAAGACGTAATTGTCGAAACTGTTTTTCTTCTTCTTCTAAGGTACGATTTATTTTACGTCTTGGCATTTTGTAAATCAAATACACAGATTATTTATTAAAAATATTTAAAAAAGTAAAAATATTTTTAATAAAAACAAAATATTAAATTAATTTTAAAAACATTAATTTTATTAAATTCATATAGTAAAGATCGTCTATAAAAGCCGACACGGGTGTTGGTGTGTTAAAATTCTTATGTTACAATATTCACCACACTCGATCTGCGCGCCACTCGGTTTGTCGGACTTGAAACACAGCTCTTTTGTGTGAAGTTGAAAACTTGTAACTTATAATTAAATTGACAAACAATTTAATATCATTCGATGCTATTATGCATCAATAAATTTCTCACCCCCCAAGCCTGTAAAGAAATTATTGCGAAAAATAACACCCCAGGTCTCAGCCAGGGACGAACCCGGATCTCCATGTTTGCCGGACGGGCATCCTACCTTTAGACCACCGAAGCATGAGATGATATTCTTCGCAATACTGATATACTGTATAACGCATATTTCCAGGCGTAAAGACCAGGGGTGTATTTTTCGCAATAGTTCCTTTACAGGCTTGGGAGGAGGAAAATTTATTGATGTATAATAGCATCGAATGATAATAAATTGTTTGTCAATTTAATAAAAACTTACAAGTTTTCAACTTCACACAAAAAAGCTGTGTTTCAAGTCCAACAAATCGAGAGGCGCGCAGATCGAGTGTGGTGAATATTGTAACATAACAATTTTAACACACCAACACAGGTGTCGGCTGTTATAGGCGATCATTACTATATGAGCTTATTATTCTTCAGAGTTATTACTTTTAATTTAATTTTAATTGTATTAGTATATTAATAATAATATACAATAACAATAAATAATAAAAATAAATTAAATACCAAATAAATTAAATAAACCTAATTATTTAAATAACTAATTAATTATTTAATAAATTGCAAAAAATATTAAATGTTTTATTAAAAAGTAATATTTACTAATTTTATATGGTCGTTAATTATTTTAAATTGATTATTAAACGTTTATAATAAATAAATTTTATTTATTAAATATACAGAAAACCATCACCATCACTATCACCACCAACGCCACCGCCAACGCCACCACCAGCGCCACCGCCACCGCCACAGCCACCACAATCAACACCCCCACCACCACACCTACGGCCACCCTCATCCTAATTCTCATCGTTCTCATCTTCATCATCATTATCATCATCATCCTCATTATTCTTATCATCATCCTCATTATCATCATCATCATCCTCAGCATCATCATTCTCATCATCATCATCCTCATTATCATTATCTTCATCATCATGTTTATCATTGTCATCATCATCCTCATCATCATTCTCATCATCATCCTCATCATTATCCTCAACAATGTCCTCATAATTATCATCATTCTCATCATCATCCTCACCGTCATTATTCTCATCCTCATCCTTATCATCATTCTCATCATCATCATCATCATCCGTGGTTCCGCGCTTCAAACGTCGAAACTCGACGTTTGAGTGGTGGAAACACAGCGGGCGCTCGAGTACGACGCATCCGCGCTTCAAACAGCGAGAATCGACGTTTTTTATGGCAGAAACGCCGCGAACGCAAGGTACGACGTTTCCGCGTTTCAAACGGCGAAAATCGACATTTGAGTGGTGGAAACGCTTCGGGCTCTCGAGTACGGCGGTTCCGCGCTTCACACGACAAGAATCGACGTTTGAATGGTAGAAACGCCGCGAACGCAAGGATACGACGTTTCCGAGCTTCAAACGGCGAGAATCGACGTTTGAGTGGTGGGAACGTCGCGGGCGCTCGAATACGGCGGTTCCGCGCTTTACACGACAAGAATCGACGTTTGAATGGTAGTGGTGCGACGAAAACGCATCTCGCGACAGTGGGCCCACTCGACACGCGCCGAGCGAACAGCGATTGGTTGTAAATCGTCATATTCCACCAATTCACGATCTATACGACGGCCACCGATGATTGGTCCACGAGCACGTCACGTTCTCCCTATATATACGGGAGTTTCGTTGGCGACAGCCTCTTT